CAAAAAAATAAAATAAAATAAAAGTGCTGCTACTGTGGGGTATTTTTAAATGTTTGTCTAATTGGTGTGTGTGTGTGTTCGCTGTGCATGTACCGGTACTATGGCTTGAGTTGAGGGCCTTCCTCTCCTGCCTGGCCTTTTCACGCACCGCTGACACTACTGTACTTGAGCCATGCCTCTACTTCCAGGTTCCTGCTGTTTAATTGGAGAGAAATGTTTTGGAGATGTCTGCCTAGGTTGGCTTTAAACTACGATCCTCAGATCTTCGCTGAGACTGTAACTGTGAATCACCAGAATTTAGATTGTTTTTTCCTTTTCTGGAGTGTGTAGTGTGCACATGCTGTTCCTGGGGCTTGAATTCTGGTCCTGGGCGCTGTCCTTGAGCTTTTGTGCTCAGGCTAGTGCTGTGCCACTTGAGCCACAGCTCCACTTCTGACTTTTTAGTAGTTTAGTGAAGATAAGAGTCTCACAGCCGGGTGCCGGTGGCTCACACCTGTAATCCTACTACTCAGGAGGCCTAGATCTGAGGATCGTGGTTCAAAGCCAGCCAGGGCAAGAAAGTCCGCGAAACTCTTTTTTTTTTTTTTTTTTTGTCGGTCGTGGGGCTTGAACTCTGGGCCTGGGCACTGTCCCTCAGCTCTTCAGCTCAAGGCGAGCTCTACCACTTGAGCTACAGCGCCACTTCCGGTTTTCTGGTGGTTTATTGGAGATAGGAGTCTCCGGTCTTTCCTGCCCGGGCTGGCTTTGAACCGCGATCCTCAGATCTCAGCCTCCTGAGTAGCTAGGATTACAGGCGTGAGCCACCAGCGCCCGGCCCGTGAAACTCTTAACTCCAATAAACCACCAGAAAACTGGAAATGGTGCTGTAGCTCAAGTGGTAGAGCGCTAGCCTTGAGCTGAAGAGCTCGGGAACAGCATCCAGGCCCAGAGATCAAGCCCCACGACCAACAACAAAAAAGAGTATCACAGACTTTCTTGCCCAGGCTGGCTTACACCTGTGATCCTCAAATCTCAGCCTCCTGGGTAGCCAGAATTACAGGTGTGAGCCACTGGTGTCTGGATTTTTTTTTTTCTTTTAACATGTTATCCATACACCATAAAATTCACCCTGGAAGGCTTTCATTTTTCTTTGCTGTGTTGGGGACTGATTTCAGAACCTTTCTCACATTCCATCATCAAGCTACAGCCCAGCCTTTTACTCTGTTAAAGTATTTTTATCATCATATCAACAGCTATAGTATACACACTAAAAGCTGACCATACATTGAATTATTGAAATTTGGTCAAAGAACATTTTAGAAAACTCAGCAGTATTACTTTTTTCTCTGAGAGTGTTGAAATCTATGCTTCAGTAGCATCTAGCTCCACTGGCAGATTGTCTGTCTATCCAACAAAGTAGAAATGGAACGGTTGCAGGCTACAATCTTCCCACTTTTAACTTTCCCTCCCACCTCACAATTATAAAGGTTATAACTATGCTTTTTACTTACCAGGTGAGACCCCAGAGAAGGACTCTCATACCAAAACTTCTTCCTATGTGGAAAAAACAAAAATTAAGTAGGAAAATGAAGAAGAGTTATGTAAGTGCCTCTAGAGGATCAGAATAGAGGAGGGCTAAGAAACACAGATGTTTAATGGAAAACAACAACATGGCTATGGGGACAGGACAGAAAAAAGTTTTCACTTAAGTTTTAAAGCTTATCTATAGTCTCAAGGGAAGAGAAAGGGGCCCTTTAAACACATCTTCCAGCCGGGAACTGATGGCTCTCACCTGTAATCCTAGCTACCTAGGAGGCTGAGATCTGAGGATCACGGTTGAAAGCCAGCCCAGGCAGGAAAGTCCATGAGACTCTTCTCTCCAATAAACCACCAGAAAACTGGAAGTAGTGCTGTAGCTCAAGCAGTAGAGCACTCGCCTTGAGCTGAAGAGCTGAGGGACAGCGCCCAAGCCCAGAGTTCAAGCCCCACGAATGACAAAATAAAATAAAATAAATAAAAATAAATAAACACATCTTCCAAGCAGCATGTAAGCACTATGTGTAGTTAACCAAGTAGTCTCAGGGATTCACAAGAGGATGGTTCTGATATGTATACCAAAACACCAGTTAGATAACTGTTAGGGGAGGAAGGACAGTAAGACCAAGAGGCTAAAGAATCCACAGAACAGGGCTGGGAAGGTGGCTCAGTGGTAGAGCGCTTGCCTTGCATGCTGGAGGCCCTGGGTTCGATTCCTCAGCACCACATAAGCAAAAAGAAAAAAGCCGCAAGTGGCGCTGTGGCTCAAGTGGTAGAGCGCTAGCCTTGAGCTGAAGAGCTGAGGGACAGCGCCCAGGCCCAGAGTTCAGGCCACACGACCAGACCCCCCCCCCAAAAAAAAAAAAGAATCCACAGAATACACTAGAGCTAGAGACAATGGTTTCATACAAAAACATTCCTAAGTAAGTCAATACACTGAGCGCACCTGGATCTCAGCCCGTGGCTTTCCACATTACTTCTCCATAGCTCCATGGAGAAATGGTTGGTTCCAGAGTTGAGACAGAGGGTATATGAACCTGGGAGCTCAGAGGGACGAGTACGGAAGCTAGATCTAAAATATACCAGGGTACGGTAAGTTATTCAGAACTCTGGACACTCACACATGGCAAGAGCAAAGAAGGCCATCTTCAGGGGAGGGACACACAGGTGCAACGCCTCTGCGCCTCTGAGCGTTGAAATAACAGCCATCAAAATGAACCCAGGAGAAAAACAAAAACACACACGCCCAGAACATTCTGCTGAGCATGCTAGTAGACGGTAAACACCTAGAACATTCTGCTGAGCATGCTAGTAGACGGCAAACGTCTGGGCATACACAGCGCGCCTTATGATGGGTTAGTAAAAGGGTGGAGAGGACTCGTAATGGCCAAAAATGGAACATTTTTTAAAAAGTGAAGCATTTTGAGCAAAATTGGATTATCATTCATGAGTCCTCACTGAGTATGGACTCAGACTCAGAACTGTAGAAAATCTGAGGCACAATCCTCCACTACAGCAATTTTCTCCCAACAAGACAGTATGGAAAATGGAGTGGAGGCCCCTAACACACAGTGATAATCATGTGGGCTGAATATACCCTGGATGATGGGTGGAAGGGCTCTTTATCTCAGCCAGCTTCCTTCCCAAATCCATGAAGAAAACAGAGATATTCCAGTGAAGGTGGGCAGGTGAAAACACGGCTCAAGTGGTAGAACACTAGCCTTGAGAGAAAAAAAACTAAGTGACCCACCCAGGCCTTAAATTCAAGTCCTAGTACTGGTAGGAAAAAAAGCCTGGGGGGAGGGGGGGTAGGAGAAGGGGGAGAAAAAAAGAAGAGAGAGAAGAGAGCTCCAAGAGAGAGAGGCCCCAGGGCTGACACCTAGCAGCCCAGCTGATCAGAGGCAGAGTCTGGAGGACTGAGATTGGAGGTCACTCCATCAATAATCCAGGTTTGGTAGACTGAAGTCTGAAGCCAGTTCCAGGCAAAAATGTAAGACTCTACCTGGAAAACAACTAAGGCGTATAATAGGGTGGGCACAGTTCAAGGGGTCACAAATACAGCACCTGCCCAACAAGCCAAAGCCATGACCACAACATCCAGTCCCACCTAGCCACCATGATGACCTTTATTCATCCAAGAAATACCACCTAAAAGAGCACTGCTCCTCAAACCAAGGCCATACAGAAGGCATTAATAGGAAGAAGTGAGTCTCTTGTTACACTTGTGTTGACAAGAATAGAAACGATGAACCATTTTGCCGATTTTTCTTTTAACCTGACACATGTTCTCAGAAGACTTCAAAGCTGTACAAAAAGGAAGAAGAGAGTGGGTGTAAACGTGGCTGCGTGGATTCTTTTTAGTGGGTTGTGGGGTTTGAAACCAGGGTCTGGGCACAGTCCTTGAGCTCTTTTGTTCAGGGTTAGGGCTCTACTACTTTGAGCTACAGCTCTGCTTCCGTCTTCCTGGTGTCAGGAAGGGCGGGAGTTGGCTCAGAGGTAGAGTGCTTGTCTCACATTCATGAGGTCCGGGTTTCGATTCCTCAGCACCCCATAAAGAGAAAAAGCGGGAAGTGGCACTGTGGATCAAGTGGTAGAGGGCTCACTTGAGCTGAAGAGCGCTGGGACAGCACTCAGGCCCAGAGTTCAAGCCCCATGACCCACAACAAAAAAAGGTCTCATAAACTTTCCTGCCCTGGCTGGCTTTGAACCATGATCCTCAGATCTCAGCCTCCTGAGTAGCTGGGATGACAGGCTGAGCCATGAGGCCTGCTCACTCACTGTTTCCTGCCTACCTGTGATCTACCTATGTTAAGGTCCCAGCAGTTAGCATAGGAGGTGTGAATTTCTGCACCCAGCTTTTCTTTGCGCTGATCTTAAAGGGGATGAAGGTCCCTCCAGAGCCATCTAATAACACAGCACCTCCCTTCCTGGTAACGCTGAGCCCCATGGGGCTGCGCCCTGCTGCCCCCC